TGCCATGAAGGGTTTTAATATCAGTCTCTACAACACGCTGCACAAAGCTACATATGAATATAAATAAAAAATATATAAATATAAATATAGTTACTGAAGTTAGAAGAACATAAACAACTTTTTACCAGAACCAGCAGGAGTCTTTTCTCAAGTCTTTTGCTGCTTCATCTCACTAAAGTTTTTATTTTTTGTTTGTTTTAAACGTTTTGTTTTTATATTTATTAAAGAACTGATTTACAGCATTAGAGTTGAAATATGTGACGTTTCTGCACTGCTGGTTTACAGTAATAAACCTAAATTTAATGTATATTTGGGTGGGTGTGCAGCTGTTTGGGCCCTCCCTGGTTTACCTGCTGATTTCTCCTCTTTCTTCTCTTCATTTTCTTTATCAGGAGACTTCTGGTCCTGCAGAACATTTTACACAGAACCACTGATTTAAACCATCAGAGATTTTCACATTTCATAAATAGTGTTAAAAAAAGACAGAGTTTAATGAATTCATCTAGTTTGGCAGCTGGAATTAAAGACGTGTTTAAATTAATTTAAATTAAACATCTTAAAACTTTTAACAGCAGATCTTACCTTAGCTGGACCTGGACCTGGACCTGGACCTGGAGCTGGAGCTGGAGCTGGAGCTGGACCTGGAGCTGGACCTGGAGCTGGACCTGGAGCGGTCCCAGGTTCTGCAGGTAACTTTGGACCTCTGAACAGGCCCGTCAACTTAGCGAACATGTTTTGATGAAGCTAGAGCTGCATCAGTTCTTGTGTCTGAGGCTGTGACGGCCGAGGAGCTGAATGATCCCTGCTGCAGCCTGACCCCCCGCCCCCCATCAGCTGGCTCTACCTGTCCTCAGAACCGGGCCGGGCCCTGATGGGTATTACTGCATTTAGCAGCACTAATGCTCTCGCTCACAGGAGTCAGCGACATYGACACTGACATGTAAACCCACGGCGATCTCATTAAGGGTCCAAATGAACTCAGAGGTGAGGCGGGCCTGAACGCAGAGCAGAAACAAGAAACGTTTATAAATCACAACATCAGCAGAGTTTTTCTATAAGTTATATAAAAAACTAGCTCCGCCTCTGGAGAGGAAACAAAACAAGAACCTGAGCTGGTTTTAAAGCTGATCCAGGTTTCTAATAGAGAATGGTTGTAAGATCCTCTCCCAGTGCTTCCATTAATCTAATTAAASCTTCAGTCTGGGGTTAAGCCTCTGACTTTACTGGTTAAGATCCAGAACATTTCAGCTMCAGGTTGATTTTAGGTGTTGATGTTGAATTAAAATGACGGGAAAACTTCAAATGTTTGTTTGGATGTTTAAAGATGTTTTAAAGATGACTGGAGTTAAACTTTATTAAAGTTTTTGTGTTTGTTTTTTTTACACTTGATGGTGTAATTCTCTCAGTCACCACTAGAGGGCAGAGCGCCCTTTAGTTTAACTATTTTTATTTTAAAATCTCTCTGTGACAAAACAAACATTTGAGCTCATTAGGTTTTTGTTCCTTTCTTTTAAGATGTCAAAAAAATTGTGTTTTTTTATTTGACACTAGTAAATAAAATAAACAAGTTTATTAAAACTTTTAGACATTTTGTTGAACAAAAACTGATTTTACTAAAAGTTAATGTTAACTTTTTGTGATTTAATGATTATTTATCACCAAAGCTGATAAAAATACATCCAGCATTTTAAAAATAAAAGTATTGCTTGCCTTTTGATGGTAAGCAATGATGAAAACACTTGTGCTTTTTGTGCTGTCTGTTAGCAAAATATCTCATGAGCCACTCGTTGGATTTTAATGACRTTCTCTGAAAGTTATATTTAGATCTACAGCTGACCATGATCAATTTAATTAACGAGATCCAAGATGGCCACAGCAGCTTATCAACCAACAGAAAAACAGCTCCAGCTCAGTAAGTTTTCAGATTTTCAGCTAAAGTTTGTGGATGGATGAAAGAATAGATGGAGGGATGGATGGATAGATGATGGATGGATGGATGGATGGTTGATGGATGGATGAATAAATAGATGGATGGATGGTTGATGGATGGATGGATGGATGAATGGATGGATGGTTGATGGATGGTTGATGGATGGATGAATGGATGGTTGATGGATGGATGGATGGATGAATGGATGGATGGATGGATGGTTGATGGATGGTGGATGGATGATGAATGGATGGATGGTTGATGGATGGTGGATGGATGGATGAATGGATGGATGGTTGATGGATGGTGGATGGATGGATGATGGATGGATGGAGGATGGATGGTTGATGGATGGATGGATGGATGGATGGTGGATGGATGGATGGATGGGTGGATGATGAATGGATGGATGGTTGATGGATGGTGTATGGATGGATGAATGGATGGATGGTTGATGGATGGTTGATGGATGGATGGATGGATGGATGGTTGATGGATGGATGGATGGATGGATGGTTGATGGATGTAAAAAACACATGGATAAAAGAATGGTGGAAATGAACAGAAAGGAAACAAAAGTTTTATTTTGACGAGACAGGAAGTGAGGATCTCAGTGGATCAACACTTCCTGTYGGTCACTTCAACAGAAGCAGATTTGATTTGATGAAACTTTAAAGACGTTTCTGCTGAAAGCAGCCACTTCCTGGAACCCTCCTCTGACATCACAGGAAAACTGAACATTTCCCTCAAACTGTCAAACTTCTTTATCTTCAGGCTCTTAATCACACGGTTCTACTTCCTGCGTCCAGATCCTCTGAGGAAGTGAGAACGTGGAGGGAGCAGGTGTCGATGGAAAACAGAACTCTGTAGTGCRTCTGAGGGTAGTGTAAGGTCAGCAGTGCTGTAAATAAACAGCTTCCGGCAGAGCTGAACTGTGTACCAGACGGGACCGCCGTCCTGCTGGGAGCGCAGCGCCTCCTCCATGTTGGACAAAACATCTTTCCTGGGACAGGACGGGTGCCCAGTCCGTCCTGGGTCTGAGCCAGAGGGACAGGATCGACGGAGAGACGCTCGCTGCTCACTTTCTGACCAGAAACACTGCACCTCTCTTCATCTGCACTTTACTCTCATTTATCCGTTTTCTTTTTCTAACATCATCAGATCAGCAGGAGAGCAGAGCTGCTGTCCTTTTGTCAAAGTTTACAAAAGTTTCAATCAGATTTATGAGTTAAATAAAATCYGTTGCAACTGTAACAACCTTAATCACCTGCCACCAAAAAGTGACGAGTCAGTTTAATTTAAAATGGCACACCTGGAAGATACAGAAACCAGGAAAAACTGTGAAGTAACCAGGCATCCTGTACTTACACAGTACATATCTGTACCATATATTAACTAGGTAGCTGAGAAGTTAAAGGGTTTTTACCCAGTTACTTACTGGGTACATACCAGGGGCCTCATTTATAAAGGATTGTGTGGAAACCATACAAAAAGTGAACTTATGGCTAAAAGTTAAAAATGGCGTACCCCAAWAAGGCGCACCTTTCCTTTATARATCACAGCTGCACCTCAGAGTTTGAACACRAGGTYCYRCCTCAGGTTCTACCCTCTACACGCCCACACTCAACCATAAACAGYCAAYGCAAAGTTCCTCATGAATGTTAAGGTGTGTTTAAATCAGTCAGCTGATCGTCTCCTCACAKCCCCGTGTGAGAAACACGACTTTAAAAAGTGAACTTTTTATTACATCCRCACTGGCGAGGGCGTATATAACTGAGCTGTTGGCCCGTGGGCCTGACGTACAGACTCTGGTGAAAGCTTTTATAAAAGATGTGAGACCAGGACTCTGGGTGGGACTGGTGAGTCTCTGTGTCTTGGACAGTCTTGTTTGATAAGTGAAACGAAGCAGCTGGATGTTTTTTACAACCCAGCTGGCATCGAGACACTTTAAGGCAGATCATGCTTCGTCACTTTGTTCAGGAGACAAATCTTGTATCTTGTTTGGTGTACTCGTACAAAGGATATACAGAAAAGGTGTGGTATTCTCTGGGGCGCCAGCAGTGGGGACAGGTGGGGCCATGGCCCACCTGAGAATAAGCTGG